AACAAACTTATCAACCATGGAAACCAAATGATGCTAATCTGGATTTTACAGAAGAGATTGATGATTTTACTAAACAAAGTACTGGTAAACTTGAATTTAATCAATTTAATCAAGAATCAGAAAAAGATTCACCTCTACAAATAAGTGTTATACCCGAATATTTGGGAAATTCACATTTTCCAAAACCTGCAGATAAACCTAAACCAAGATCAAGATATTCAAGATATGGATCGCTTCATAATATACATAATATTAATGATGAAGATATTATAAATCACAATAATGGAAATACTGATACATCGCATATTTATGAATTACCTCCAAATATGGATGTAGAAATTGATGATAACAAGGAAAATCAAAATACAACAAGAAATCAAGAAAAAAATGAAAATATAGATTTGTCTAAAAATTTAAATCAACACAGTGGAAGTAATTTATATGATGTTGAAGGAAGTAATGTAGACCAAGTAAATTGGTTACATAAATCGAATGATGCAACTGTAGGTTTACAATGGCATTATACGTATCATCCAAGTGACCAAAGGCAATTTGTACAACAAACAGAACAAAAAGATAAAGAAAATATGCAAGAACAATCAATGCAATCACAATTTTTTAATTAGAACAAAATTTAAATAAGGAAACACAAAATAAATACATAATGGATAATTCACATCAACAATTAGATTGGCAATCTCAAAATTATAAATCTGAACAAAAAGATAAATCTTTAAGAAATGATTATGTTCAAAATAAAAATAAATTTATATCTAATGAACAAATAAAAGAAAGTTCACAGACAGATGTTGGAATTTTTAAACCAGAACCTAAATTACAGCCAAGAATCTTAGAAGTTTATGGAGGTGGCCAATATGATCCAACACATAGCGATGATATATATTCAGGAGTGACGATAAATCCTAGTGCTACATTAACATCTACAAGCAATACAGATCCATGGGACATTAGGGAAAAACCAGAAATATTAACAACAACTGAATTAGTACCACCATTATTATCTGTAGAACCATTGGACACAAACATTCCTACTGAAGCACCTCATTCATCATCCATTTGGTCAAGAATTAGTCATAAAATAGCAACTACAATAGATAAAGCTAAAGAAAAAGCTAAAAATATTTTTGGATAAATATAAATTTTTAAAACAATTTTTAAAACATATCTATTTATAAGTAACATATTTTTTAAAATATAGATTTTAAATAAAATTTATTAGAGATAAGATTATTGAAATTGTTAATTTAATATGTAGTACTAATTTAATATATTTTAATATATTAGAATTGTAATGTAGTATTATGAAATTCTATTATTATGAAGTTATTATATATTTTAAATTGTTATTTAAATAAATGAATTTATATTTTTTAACTTTTATATTTTATTCTTCATTCTAAATATTATATAATCATAAATATAAAAAAGATCATAATAAAAAGGATCAACAATAATGTATGTATAATTAATCATATTTACTTACTTCTGGTAGACTCTTAAAAAACCTTACAAAACTTTGTTGACTTGATGGATCTGAAATCAATATTAATATAAAATTATTTAAAATCAAAAATCTAAATATGTAAAATGAAAAATTAATTTCTAAAATTATATTTTACTGACCCATATTAAATTGTTGATTTGGTTGGACAGCCATGATTTTATATAAGAAAAAATACTAAGATTTACGCGATAAGTAAAAAATAATCTTAAATAATTATAAAATAGTATACAATTTTATAAAAATATTTCAAAAATAATCTTTTCAAAATACTATATATTAAATAATCATTCAATGTATTCCCGCATAAATATATCATGGAATAATAATTCATAGATTGCATACTACAGTTATATTTCACAAAATATTATTGTCCAATTTTATTGGTTATGAATGTAGATTTACGTTTCTATATATGCTTTCTTTAATATTAAGTAGTTAATGGAATATGTTTTAATAGAAAAATAATTCAGTTTCTTTTGTACATTTTTACTTATAATATGTAATATTTTAATTTTTTAATATACTTTTATTTTTATAACGTAGAAATTGTGTAGTAAGATATTATATAAGAGCATAAGTGTCATTACATGAATTATTAATTGAAATTTAGGATTCTTTTTCTATTCTTAAATTTATATTTTTGAATGGAGAGTAATCATTAATTTAATATATACATATATATATACATACATACATTCATATATGTATACATATACATATAATTATATATATACATATAATTATATATATAATATACTTACGTATAATATAAGTGTAATTTATTAGATATAAAATTTTTAATGCATAATTATAATATGTATAATTTCAAATTCAAATTTTTTTCGAAACTATTTTGAATGAAATTTATTAAAAATTATTTTCATTAATAAATAATTAAAGAATTATAATACATATGTAGTTTGTAAAAATAGATATCATAAAGTGACATAAATCAGATAATTTTATGAATATTGATTCTGATTAAAAATTGATATGATTAAAAAAATTATATTGGCTTATAATTTAATTTTTTAAAAATTGAAAACATAGAATTCATTAAAGTTTTATTTGATATGTTGTTAATATTTGGGACAAGAATGATAATGAATAATTATTGTTCTTATCATTATGATAAGAGATTGCTTATTGTATCTTGATAGTAGAATATGTATATTATTAAAGATACTTTAAGTCTTTGTACTAAATCACAAGTAACAACGAGCAATAAATATCAATCATCGTGCATTTGTGCCCTATCATAGAATTAATTGAGAGTCAACAGTATATTGCGTATGTCGTCCTATAATTCATTTTCTGAACTGCTTTATTCGTGAACATATCGTGAACTTACACTATTTTTGAATTTTTTTTATTTGAAACTAGTATTTTTATAATTCTTATATTTATATATAAAAAATAAAATTGTAATTATTATTATTATTTTTTTTCAAATTTATATTTGTAACTTAATAAATTAATTAAGAAAAGACGTATTAAGAAAAATTTTTTCTAAAATAGGTAAGTAATTTGTGTTTTAAAATTAATAATACAAAACTTAAAATATATTTTATTGTTTATAATCTCGAAAATATTTTATAGAAAATTGTTCGTAATATTTTTATTTTAAATTTATCTTTTATTTTGTAATTAATTGATAAAATTTAAGAATTTTAATATATATATTTTATTTTAAAAAGTTTTTAGAAATAAAATGGATATGGAGAACAAAGATAATATGTTAATACCGGGTCAACGAATTCGTCCACCTGGCAACAAACAAAAAGTTTTACAACTTTTAGAAGAACTTTATGGTTTGAAAACCTTAACTATATCTGAATTGAATGCATATGATGACAGAAATTATCATGTAATTTGTGAAAAAACTCATACGAATCCTCATATAACGATCATAAATAAATATGGCTACGTTTTGAAGATCGTTAATTCTTTGGATTCGCAGAAAACACACATAATTGAAGCACAAACTGAAATGTTAATATTTTTGCATCAGCAAGGTATTAATTGTCCTCTGCCTGTAAAAAATATACATGGATTATATTACACTCTAGTTAAAATGAATAATGAATATTCTGAAAATTATGCTGTCAGATTGTTGGTTTACCAGTCTGGTGAATTGTTGCACCGTGTACCAATTACTGGAGATTTGCTACGAAATGTGGGCAATTTTGTAGCCCGACTCGATAATATTCTAATGACTTTTTCTCACCCAGCTTATAATCATCACAAGACACTATGGATGTTAAATTCCGTACCACAATTACACCAATTCATCTATGCTATAAAAAATGTATTTGAAAAAGATTTAGCGCATCAAGTAATAATAGCTTTCGAAAAGGACGTGCTTCAAATCACTTCACAATTAGAACAAGGCATGATACATGGAGATTTAAATGAACAAAATCTAGTGATGAGCTCGAATGGCAAAGAAATATTTGCAGTCATCGATTTTGGTGATGCACATCGAACATGCTTAATCTTCGAATTAGCTATCGCGCTGTGTTACATTATTATACAGACTGGTGATATAGCGATGGGTAAATATGTAATCGAAGGTTATCAGGATATTAGAAAGCTGACAGATCTTGAGAAGAAAATTTTGAAAGTTTGTGTTTGTGCAAGAATTTGTCAAAGTCTGATTATGGGTGCTTATTCTTATCTTCATGATCCACAAAATGAATATCTGCTTACTACACAGAAATCAGGATGGTCATTATTGAAGAAGCTTTGGCCTCTTACTCAAGATGATGTTCTTCGAAATTGGGGATTGATAAACTAAATTCTTCTACTTATTCAATTTTTCAATATATTATATAGTTCATTCTCAATATTCCAGTCAATTATCACATTGTTTGAAATTGTCTGTTATCAATTACAGAAGCAATAAACATATAAATTTATATTTTAACTGAATTGAATTTAAGGAATTAAAATTAAAATACTGTGCAGCGATATATCCTCTGGTTTTATTCGTATTTAGGCAGTTACATATTTACATAGATATAATGAATAATAATGCTCTTTGTATAATAATATGGAGTCATTTTATACATAACTAGATGGTGGTATATACAAAAATGCAGGTATTAAAAATCAATTCATGGGAAATTGTGTGTTACTGAAAAACAATTTTAAAAGAAACATATTTCTCATGATTACTTGAGTGGAATAGTAATTGTTGTTAACTTCAACTCTATAAACTAAATATTCATCGAAATATATCGGTAATGTACACAATTTATTTATAAATGTATTGTAAGACAATATATTTCGATCTTGCATAATAGACTTATATTATACCTGCGTTTAAGGTGAAATCATTCGCGTGTGCTTTTATATTACTTACACAACTTGTAATATACATATATATATATATAATATATAATATATATATATATATATTATATATATTATATAATATATAATATATAATATATAATATATAATATATAATATATATTATATATATTATACATTATACACACACCCAAATATATAATTTTTTTATTTCAATTTTAATAATATACTAATTATTTATATCTTTTTTTCATTTCATTAATATCAGTTCGTTTTGGCAAACTGTCTAGCTGTGTTGAGGCAAATTCGTTGATAGCGAAAATTTGTTCACAATATCAGAGTAAAAAACAGAGTTAACAGAGTTACATGAACGTAAAA